GAAATGGTACCCATTCTTATTCAGTAAGTTGTGCATTTAAGCGACTATTATCGATGGTGCCTCTTCAAAGTAACGCTCGCTCTGCTTAACGGCTAGTGGTTCAGATGGGAAACGACGCGAAAGTGGGGCTTATCGGGTTAACGGCATATCTTTCGATGCGAGTTACGTGTTGCTAGTGGGTCCGCCGTCCTCTCCACTAGATAAGTTTTGGAAGGCACAACCCAGGCAGAGGTCGTGTGAACGCTTCCCTTCGGTCTGTAGTATAGACCCCTAGAGGACAATCACAAATGTGGCGTTCCGTGCACGGAAACCAACCGACAAGAGCGCTTGGGCCTTGCAAAGTAAGCTGCTGAAGCTGCAGATTTTTTTCTCTTATCAGGCTGTTGTCTGGCGCTCTCTCATCTGTAGCGCTCTCTCGCCCCATACTCTCCTCTCCGCGCTTAGTCTCTCATTCCCTTAGCACAGCCGATTAGGAAGGTGAGTGAGCCCTTAACCTAGCGTTTTCTGACGGATTTTTTTCAATTTGTTCGTCACTGTTGGCCCATTAGGTGTGGCTCTTGAAGCACAATTATAAAATGTCAACGGATATGAAGGAATAACTTTGACTGATCTATTTTGAGAAAAATGCGCGCATTTGCAAAAACACACATACTTCGAAGCAACAGTCCCAATAGGTCCACACCTTTGATACTAACGGTGAGGGAATGATGCGTTATTGCTAGCCATTGGACTAAATACCTCCCTTGAAAAACTGCTAGAAGAGACCTGAACGCTTTCGTTCCGCGCAGTGTTTGGCTCCGCACTTGTTAGCCGTAGAGATCACCTGCTTGGCTGCGGGTTTTTGAACGATTGCATGTAAACTGTCCCGCAAATCTTGCCGACACGAGCCAGCAATGTCCCGGTTGAGCAAGCTAGCTCGACGGCTCGTCCGTGCCGCCCCTCCTTTTTTTAAAGAGGGAACAGAGGGAGTCCTTATTTGAAGGCATCACATGCGTTTCTCTTTATTTTTTTCGCATTGAGTTGCAGCCAACTCGGGATCCAGAATTTCATTGTCGACCGTTTTCTGCGCTTTGAAACTGCTGCCTCAAGTAACTGCAATAATTCAGAAATAGCACAAGCGGCAATTATGGGTGAATTAACGATTCTGCGTAGATGGTCTTCTAGTGGGTAACTGTATAGCAGCAAATGACGTCACTGTGTCCATTGCTCCTACGGTGGATCGGTACCTCAATCCAATTTTTTTGAAAAGTAGTGACCGGTATTCCTTGAGAAAGAAAAAGGTGATTAATGGACAGAGAACGGGGAAAAGGGCCCAGAGAGCCTGTGTGCAGCACACGACAACAGTCCCGCTTGTATTGCCTCCAAACATCATACCATATTGCGCCAATGCCGGCGTATGGAGTAGCATAACTGGACAAGCAGTCTGTAAAAGAGAGAAGTATCTGAAATCTTAGAACCTCATTTTTGTGTTGCCCGAAAAAAATCTACAATATAGAATCACTTCACTAATATGCAACAAATATTTGTCCTGCTGCACAGTTTCTCAGCTCCAGAACGGAACGCCTCGAAAGAATGGTCTTCATATAAACTAATTTAGATCTATTTGTTTCCCCGTTAAGGTAATTTCTCATTCTGTTCTTGAACTAGTTTTGACAGAGAGCGAGTTTGTAGGTTGAAAACTTGCATGAATTCCTGATGACAAACTGCTTAAATTTAGAGACAATTACCTGAATGACAAGTAGGTAATTCATACGACGTTGCATTGCTTTTGCCTGATTGCTCAAAGACGACTTCTTCAACGTAGTATTGATTTGGACTGCCCAATAAATTCCAACGATTGCTAACAAAAAAAGCATGGTCATCGTGTCAATTATCAAACGAAGTGACTCCACGGTGCGTTGGCGGCTGTAAGAAGAAGTTGGTTCATGTGACCGTGTGTACCGTTAATATGTTGAAGCGGCCTAAAACATAAGCCTCAATCGAACAGCGCTCTTTTTTTGTTTTTCTTCATGATCGAGTTGCCACGCGGCTACAAAAAATACTAAGGGACTTGAAGAAAAAATAGTCATCAATTATTAGCAGCTAGCATGCTGTCTAAAGCAGGCGTTGCACCGAGAGCTACGCGCTGACTGCTATGCATGAGCGGACAGGAAGTAATACTGCTAAGAGCTTCAGGCTGAAGCTCTTACAGTAGACCTCCTTGAGCCTGACGACGGTGACAGATGACGTCATATTCTGAAGACGGTGAGGGCAGTGAAGGAGGGCCTGCGTTCACTTATAGAGGGACACTTAGGGAATACTCTGCTGAGGAACTCCCGTCAACGACAGCAATCTCTGCGAAGAAAAAAGAGCCGAAGTCCGACATAGGCAAAATGTCTTTTTTTTTGGCCCCCCCCCTGTAATTTCGAGAGACGAAAGTAATCCAAAAGAAATTTTCAGTAAAGGTAAAGCTACCAGTAACTTCCATAGGGATACGCTACACATTCCACTTCCATTCAGAGAGTGGTGGTATACACAATGACTTAAGGGAATTCTTGTACAACTAGTCTTTTTATCCTCTCGAACATTCTGCCACCAACTATAATATAATAAGTCGAAGACATGGGAGGGCTGGTTGACCCTGATGCGAATTTGCCCACCGAACCAGGCTACGTTTTGTATGCGCACCACTCAAGTTATCACCTCCTTCATGCACGGTTCGATTATATGAGTACAGGGGAGGGGGGCCGAAAAAAGACATTTTGCCCAGGTCGCACTTCGGCCTTTTTTCTTCGCAGAGATTGCCGTCGTTGACGGAAGTTCCTCAGCAAAATATTCCCTAAATGTCCCTCTATAAGTACACGCAGGCCCTCCTTCACTACCCTCACCGTCTTCAGAATATGACGTCATCTGTCACCGTCGTCGAGCTCAGGAGGCCTACAGTAACTGCTTCAGCCTGAAGCTCTTACATAATTTCGTGCATTCCGCACGCGTAAACGCGTACACGCAACCAGTAGAGAACCCCACTGCCGACTCGACCATGAGCCACCATCTTCCGGCAAACTTTTCTGACGCCGTCCACGAAGATGGCCACTATGCATATTTTCTTGTGTAATGAAATGCGCCTTCAATTCTCTGTTTTGAGCACACGCTTTGAACTGTGCAAAGTGTGATTAAATACATTTGAGTCTGAAGACAAAATGTCTTCTTCTATTGCTCTCCCCTGTACATTAGCGGAAGCCACAGCCGCCACACATTAGCTGTTAGTATGCAAGACCGCCTTTTAACAGCGTTTCGGGGAGGTCGTAATGGTCTATGGTACATCGACGACCTCATTTGAGCTCGTACCGTGAACCATGTTCCGTGAGAAAATCTTCTTGAAGCTGATCTTGTATAAGTGCTTCACTTTTTTTTCGTCTTCCCGGCTGAAGTGATCGTGATAGGTGAAGAGGCTCTGTCACTTTTTTTCGTCTACGTCTGTATATTAGGGTGTCCTAGAAGCTCGCGCAATCCCCCGTGGATCTGTTCTGTGTGCAGAGTGGTACTATTTGTGGTCCATGGCTAGGGATTTTCATCAAAGCTAAGCGCGAAATCTTTCACATGAATGTTTGATAGGAGTGTGAAAAGCTTCGCTGTCGCCACCAAAAACCAGCTTAGTCGGTTTCGTCACTCATGTAGTCACTGTTGATCATCTCGAGTGATCGGAGAGGTGATCCACGCGTCCTGAACAGCAGCGAGGAACAGCACCAATGTGAAACTGTTGCGTTTTAGACAGTACTTCCGCCTGCTCACCCCTCGTTTACAGCGGTGGTATGCCACAGCTGCGCTCGTTTTTTCGACTGCACAAATATGGTGCGTTTAACCACGTTGACGACAGCGCGCGTTTTGGCTTTTTTGGCCGCGTGGGACCAGCGCGATTTTGCGAGCGCAACCGCCTCAGGTCATTCGAGCGCATTTCGAATGGTAAACACATAACAAATGACTGATACAAAATTAGTTCAGTGACTTTCATCGAGTAGAAACTATCCAAGGGTACAGTTGTGGAAATTTGATCGAAAGATGCGAAATACGAATGAAAAAGCAAAATTTGCCCAGACTTATCTACAACGGACCTTAAAATCCGTCCTACCTGGATTGCTGCGATCAAACACATATCTTGTTATTCCTCGGCTCCGTATTTAATTTTACCACTCTTTTCACACCCTCACACTTATCGAATGAAAAGGGAAACAAAAAATTATCTGAACTGATATATTCAGTAACGTTCAGAAATCTTTTTCTAAGTTGAGGCATACGTAACCCTTATTCGAGCCACTATGTTTGTAGCTGTGCTAGGGTCTCTTCTATAGAACAAACACAAGAAACTTTGAAATTGATCACGCGTGTGCGCGGAAAAAATTGATGTAATGGGTGCAGGACACATACGTCCCGCGCTGTCCGTCATGCGCCAGCCAAAGTGCGGCGTATGCAAGAGTCAACCCTGCGTTGCGCAGTTCTCAACGGCCACGTTGCGCAGTTTCGCCCGATTAGACACGTTCTCTCGCGCGAACATTCACACTCGCATGCTCGAGCCGTCTGCGTCTCCGCCCATACAGCGTGCGTTGAGGATCTCTCAACGTGCCGTTGCGAACTGCGCAACGCAGGGTTGACTCTGGTCGAATGGTCCTGCGCTCTCTCAACTGTTTCGTATCACATCGCCCCACCCGGTTTCAGTATCGGCGTTCGCCTATACCTTAGAAGCACATCCCGCAAGTCCCCTCTGTTGAGCTGCAACAGTTAAAAATGGCTCAGCAAGCGACAAGTGCCTTATTTGATTTGTTTGTACTACGAGTGCAAGAAAAAGCAGAGGCAGACATATACACGTACTCCAAAGCCGGAGGACCGCAACCTTGGATTGAAAAAAGAGAAACGAGACGAGCGAGAGAAGCACACAAGCAGAGTTTCAACCTTGCGATTCAATTGCCACCTGTTTTTAAACAATGGGATAGCGTAACCCCTGTGGATGCAAACACAGTAGTTTAGTTGTTCCAGTAAACGAACTGAGGAATATGCCTCTATGAATCTTCTACCGGACCTCAGGCCTCTGATTCAGTACTATGCGACAAGCTACTATAGCGAGCAGCGATGACCACAACCCGATAGCAACTTTTCTTATAACTAACAGGTCACAGTTTCTTGTGACCAAACCTTTAACTTTGGGTTGAAGCATGGTAACCATGGGATATGTACAAAATGAATCATGCTCACCTCCACACAGAGACCAACAAATGCGACCTCAGATACATCAAGGCCAATATTGTTCAGCACAGGAACCCTCAAATAGTCGCTAAGCTCACTGGTGGGCCAAACGACGTGATAAAGGTAAGAGACCCAATTGAGGACAATCAAAGCGTTTCCACCCAAGAGCAGAAGAAATCCTTGAAAGGTAGAATATGTAGCAAAATACTTGGATCTGGAAAATGTCGAAACAGTATGCTTTGCCGATGTTGAATATAATATCTTCAAAAAAATCACTTGCACAACTGGAGATATCTATGCAGAAAAACGTTGGTTGCTGCCAGAACAACAAGCAAAAAGGATGACCAAAACAGAGCTAAAAAGCTCATGCTTGCTACATATGAATCCAAGATTCCTGACGTAACCAATGTCCAACAGTAATTCCATGCGAAAGCTCTCTATAAATGAATATTACAAAAAATAGTATTCGATACTTGATAAAAAGGTTCTCTCACCGGCACGAGTACTATTGTCAGCAGTGAGTATAAGATATTTATTATGGACCCAAGCGGAATGAAGTACTTGGAAGAATTGATCTTCAAAGGGCGCAGAAAGTAGATCGCGAGAAGCATAGCGTTGAGTGCTGTGGATAAAATACTCAAGGTTTCGACCAGGTAAAAAGCGAAGTCGTGTACCATCTAAAGCAGGAAAGTTCGTGTGATTTTATCCAATACTGAAGCAGAGATCCTGCTTAGTATTCGATTTGACATTTTGAGATACATGTCTTTGGAGAACTGTCGCTAGAATAAATCAGCAGTCACATGAAAACGGAAGAAAAAGACGTTAGTATTCATCGAGTGATCTTGGCTGACTCTACCACTCCAACCAATATTTTAGTGTAGTGACCGATGGCGTTAACATCATTAGTTACTGACTGTGTGTAGCGCTCGCTACACTTCGTGTTGGAAACTTGAAGAGCTTATCTCTTGAGTGCTGAATGTTTTCGTGTTCACAGCCCTGACAGGACGCTTCACGGCAGTGATTGTATGCTAGGATGGTGTGCAAATCATGGGCTTGAGCCATGTTTTTAGGTCGCCTTTGAAATGACGGGAAGATCGAAACGTTTGGTGTCGCGATCAATCGCGACTTTCTATGCGATGTAGTTCATTCCTTTCATATCTGATGGGAGATTTACTTTGTTGTAATGTTTTGGCGTATTTAAGCCCTCTGAGATCTCCTCAGAGCGCTTTTTGCTACGGTGTAAGGATAAAGTGGTGAGTTAAGATCGTGTTGCTGAACCACCGAGGACAGTTGGCCAAAATAAGTTCATCACCTAACAAACTTGAGGGAGAAGTACAAAAACACAAGCAATAACAAAATTGCAGAGGTTTAAAGATGAGAAGACTTGGAATCTAATCGCCGAGAATCATTTGGAGAAAAGGATTACAATCCAAAATACTTCAACGGTTGGCAGGATGATCGCCTCTAGTTCACAGTTTTTTCAAATCGTTGACAAACGCATCGCATACTTCACGCAGTATTTTCTATGAATTCTAACCCAGGATTCCGAAGAAATTCTTGGTATTTGAGGGAGTAGATTTTCTTTCCAAGTCAGTCCGTACTTGAAAATTCCTCGGTCTAATCTGGAGAAATAGAGAGTCATTCGTCGTAATCGCGAAGGATCCGTTCGGCAAACTAAGCCGCTTTCGGCCAGTGCCTGAAGCGAATCTTTGCCAAGTTCGACCATAACCCTCTCCACGATGAAGGCAAGGGTTCATTGTGGCCCGCAGTCTCTGCCGCGGCTTCCAAGAGTCACATTGCGCCAAGACAAGCTCATGGTCTTGAAGAAGTACGGAGCTTGAACGCTGTTTGGATAAGTATGAAACTTTGAGAAATCGTCGAGCAACACCTTCGCATAGCGTCTGTTGTAGTTTTTGTTGCACATAACAAACCACTCTGCAATCGGAGCGTTTTGGCAGCAGCATGATCAAGTACATACATATAATGAAGGGGATGGGACAAGATTGTCTACAATAAATTTTTTTTCAAAAATTCAAAAGATAAAGGTGCACCAGTATTTTTGCCCCCTCTTATGTACTGTTAAGAAGACGAGCTAGACCGGGTCAAAAGTTTATCACAGGGGAGTTTTTTCAGTTTATAAGCCGGAAAATTATTGAATCATAGACATTCCAAACGGTAAAGCTTTACTTTGAGAATGGCTGGTTATAATAAATCTGGAAGGAAGTTTAGATTTTTGACGACGTTCTCTCTCTAGATAATGCAGAAATCATGCAGTATAGAGGAAAATAACGCTCACAGCAAAATTGACAATGATTTTCGGGGTTGTCTTATTTAGTGCAATTCTATAATAGAAGCCACGGCTTTCTTCGGAGGCAAGCGCTGTAAGGTTTATAGAAGATTTGCTCTACCGAAAGGTTTGCTAAGGGGCCATTGAATCAAAGACATCAAAAGTGGCCTCGTGAGGGTTTTTGCTAAAAGGGAGTAACTTTCTGAGAAATGGGAGTTCTTACATTTCCATGAGTCAGAACTCCTTTCAGAGGCATCCAATCGCGAAGGGAACGGGATGCTACCAACTGGAAGATCTGCTTCCCTCAAAGATCGTTAGATGTGTGGTCGGTGAAATTTTTATTGCAAAAATGTCACCTCTGAAGATTTTTGCTCATATAAAAATTTTTGGCGCATTGTCACACCAAGCCACAGCATACGACCACAACCTCTCTCTTATAAAATGCTTTGCAAAAGTTGAAAGACTTTTGTAATCCGCATGGTTTCTCTTCCTCAAAATATGCAAAAAAGGTCTCAAATCAAGAGGGAATATGTTCGTAAAGTTGGCACGTGAAGCTCTATAGAAAGGTTTTGAAGTGTTGAAGTTTCATAGTTGGTCACAGAAAGCAACGAGCATCTGGGCACTGAAGTTTTCGACACTTTTCTATACATTTCCAGTGAATGTAGAGCTTTGCGAAAATTAGGAGCCGAGCACTTATGAATATATGGAAAATGGGCCTTGCCGGGGCATGTGTGAAGACGCGTGGTGACGCAGAAAAGGGCACACCAGTCAACTATTTGAGAGCCTGGAAAATGAAAATGACTTCTGTAATTGACTTCCTGGAGTGGTCGTGCTGTGAAAGAGTCAACTAATAAACCAATTACACAATATTCAAATGAAAGCGCAAAAGGCGACGCAGGCAAAACCGAACAAATTGCAGCAATAATATGGCAAATGTTAACGTTTGGGAAGTACAATTTTCCTGAGAATATCCAACAGCGAAGGAAAGCATGCAAGGACTGAGGTTCACGAATTCTCATAGAGCTTCAAAGAGAGCCTGGGGAGCTCGATACGGTCAAGAGTGCTGGTTATGAATATGGAGGCTACGTGAACTCTCCACGCACGCTGCGAGCGGTCAGTTCGCCAAGAGAAGCGGCGTCAGCATAGTAGCTGTATTAGTTGTAGTATAGTATGTGGCTAATCCAGCATCATCATATCATCTTACTGATAACACTTACAGATTTCCTATGAAAGTTTCACTTCAGGGGTGAACATGTAGGTGGCCTGATCACG